ATTTATTTGTTTACTTTATTAAACATTTCTTTCAATGTAAGTTGTTTAAGTTGCTTCGTTTTTTATGTCATACAGTCAAAAGTCGTTATTTCAGACACCCATAATCCGGAATGATCTATAATCTGGGCCTCAAAGCTACAAACTTTCTGCAAGACCTTTACGGCTGCGAATATGGGTGTGTGCATGCCCAAAATACGTTTACGCATGCGCGTTTAATGTATAACGGACGGTATAAGCTAAGCTAAAATTATTTAATTCAGTTAATGTTGCAGATTGCGTTGTTCCTTAATCTTCGAATTGAATCCGGCTTATTTTATTTTTTGCAGACTGTTAGAGGAATTTTATAAAAGTAAGCTTGAACTTTCTATTATGTCAAATAGAATTTCCGATATATATTTACTAATATGTAAAGGATCTACAAAGCGAAAGAATGTTTCGAAGTCCATTAAACAAAAAGTGGAATTGCTGCAAAAAAATGGATAAAGGCATATCATTTGTTTATCTAACCATTCCGAAATCTGTTTATCAATTTCGCGCTGCTCTGCGGCGGGGGGACGCCCCGGCACGCAATGAATTGGAAGTTGATCTGTCAGCTTTATCCTTATCTTCAGACCAGATGCTTTTATTTTATTTGGCTTATAATTCCTTACTAAGTGTAGTAATTTCATCTCGATGTACTCCATCTTTGATATGATTTAAATCAAATTCCTCGTCATTATAATTCGCTTCCGATAGCGAAGAAAGTAAAGTAAACAAATAAATACAGTCAAAAGTCGTAATCCGGACGTGTCGGGACTTCGGCGATTCCGGATTATAGATCATCAGTTTAAATCTCGTAAGATGGCATGCAGAAATTCTAAAATTAAAAAATATGAAACTATAATTTATGAAATAAAGAACAATTTTGATCTAAAGGGTATCAAAATTTAGAAACAGAAAGCTTAATATTTATTTGTTTACTTTATTAAACATATCTTTCAATGTAAGTTGTTTAAGTTGCTTCGTTTTATGAGATAATACTTTCTCTTTAATTCTATAAACAGACATAATTTCTTGTTCGGTTACAAAGTTCCGCTGTTCAAGTCCCGTAATTGCTGTGCCGAGAATACCGACTAACTTGTCAATCGAAATTTTTTCATTTTCACTAACCTCTCTGTCACCTTCATGTCTTTATCCATTTTTTGCAGCAATTCCACTTTTTGTTTGGTGGACATCAGAACATACTTTCGTTTTGTAGATCCTTTGGGAGCTCCAGTATTGGAAATTCTCTTTGACATAATCGAAAGTTCAAGTTTTCTTTTATAAAATTGCTCTTACGGTCTTCAAAAAATAATAAGCCGGAAAAATTCGAAGATTAAGGAACAACGCAATCATCAACATTAACTGAAACAGATAATTTTACCTTATACCATCCGTTATACAAAAAACGCGCACGCGAAAACGTATTCTGTGCTTGCGCACACACATATGCGCAGTCGTAAAGGTCTTACGCACACACGTAAACGCCTATGCGCATGTGTCAACTCAGCGCATGCGTAGAACGTTTTTAGCTTTGAGGTCCGGATTATGGGTGTCCGAATTAACAACTTTTGACTGTATTAAGCTTTTATATGTAAATTTTGATACCCTTTAGATCATAATTGTTCTTTATTTCATAAATTACAGTTTCAAATTTTTAATGTTATAATCTCTGCATGCCATCTTACCAGATTTAAACTGATGATCTATAATCCGCAAAAAATCGATAATCCCGAATCACCGAAGTCCCGACGAGTCCGGATTAATGACCTTTTACTGTAATACATTCTCTTTAATTCTATAAACAGACATAATTTCTTGTTCAGTTACAAAGTTCCACTTTTCAAGTCCTATAATTGCTGTTTCGAGAATACCGACTAATTTGTCAATCGAAATTTTTTCGTTTTCAATAACCTCTGTCACTTTCTTCGCTATCGGAAGCAAATTATAATGACGAGGAATATGATTTAAATCATATCAAAGACGGAGTACATCAAGATGAAATACTACATTTAGTAAGGAATTATAAGCCAAATAAAATAAAAACATCTGCCCTGAAGATAAGGATAGTACTGACAGATCAACTTCCAATTCATTGCGTGCCGCAGCGTTAAAGATAAACAAAGTTTAGATAAACAAACTTTAAAGTTTAGATAAACTAAGGATATTATTTTATCCATTTTTTGCAGCAATTCCACTTTTTGTTTAATGGACTTCGAAACATACTTTCGTTTTGTAGATCCTTTACATATTAGTAAATATATATCAGAAATTCTATTTGACATAATCGAAAGTTCAAGCTTACTTTTATAAAATTGCTCTTACTGTATGCAAAAAATAATAAGCCGAATCCAATTCAAAGATTAAGGAACAACGCAATCTGCAACATTAACTGAATTAGATAATTTTAGCTTAGCTTATGCCATCCGTTATACATTAAATGCGCATTCGTAAACATATTTTGCGCACATGCATATTCGCAGCCGTAACATTGCTTTCGAGCGTCTACGGGACCATCGCAGAAAGTTTATTTGATCTGATTATAGATCATTCGGATAGGGTGTCCGATTACGACTTTGACGTTATGTAGATTTATAAATATTTTGCAGTCTCTAATGAAATTAAAAGTTGTTGTGTTTTCAAATAATATTTTCTTTCCCCCCCCCCCCCCCCCCCCCCCCCCCCCCCCCCCCCCCCCCCCCCCCCCCCCCCCCCCCCCCCCCCCCCCCCCCCCCCCCCCCCCCCCCCCCCCCCCCCCCCCCCCCCCCCCCCCCCCCCCCCCCCCCCCCCCCCCCCCCCCCCTATACATACGGAGTGGGGGTCTCCCATAATCTCGAATATTGAAACCGTTACAGTTCGCAGCAAAGCAAGCAAGACTTTTTTTTTTTTGGGTCACTTTCCAACCTGGATTCAATATCACTAAAAGGTCTTCGGTCTACCAACCCAAGTGAAGAATGATTCTATTCGGGAAATATAATGCAATTTGTTCAAAATTAGAATGAAAAACACCCCAGATTGGTAAATCTCTTTATTAATCAATATCAGAATGACAAGGATATCGTGCAGAGCGCGACGTGTCCTGCTCAATGAGAAATATTCCACATGGATGCATGACGGTGAAAACCAGACGAAGCAAAGAGGCGTTTTCCTTTATTTAGTTATTTATTCTCCGAATACTGACAGCTCTTGATTCCAATTGCGTAATATCATGTGCAGAAGAATTAAGGCGCGCATATTGCGCAATAACGTTTGTGATATTTCCAGAGATAAGAAGAGTTTTACTGTGCTTGCTAAGCAGATTATTTTTCAGTTCTATTGGACTATTTTTTTTATGATGCACGTATTGGAATGTCAAAAGCATTATTTAGCTGAAAAATCTAAAGAACAGCTACAATCTATCCCTTTTCCTCTGTTACCAGTTACGCTCGACTATCTAGAATTTTCAGATATTCGGCAATTTCCGAGTATGCTGGTTAGTTAAGCTTTTACTGTTAAAGGATGACTGCATGAAGCAATTTCCCATCTTCTGATTTCAGAAAAGTTCCTTTTTTTACTTATTTTTGCTTAAATTACCATGCTTGCAATATCTGTTAAGGGAAAACTGTTATACAATGAAAATTTAGAAAATGTTCAGAATATTGATGAGTGGAAAAATAAATTGTATTTATTTTTAGGTGCCAAGTGAATGTAATAAATATGACTTATTATTATTTATTTCTTATGTTTTGAACTGAAATTTCATAGTTAAATCTTCTAATATAATTTAGTTCTGCATAGTTTTTTTTTCCCTCTCATTGTAAACTAGTTCTGTAACTGTTATTTAAAATTTAAAAAAAAAAAAAAAAAGTAATTGTTTTCCATGGTTGAGTAATGCTCATTCTTCCTTAATAAATACTAAATTTCTCATATTTTAAATTACAAGTCTAATTTTTCTTTTAAGGTTATGCAGTTGTGTAGAATGTAATTAGACAGGTGATTATTTTTTTTTAACTAAAATGTGGCTACGAACCCTATCAGTTTGCTTATCATAGTACAGTACAAAGTCCGTAATCCGGATGTCCATTATCCGGAATGATCTATAATCTTGACCTCAAAGCCACAAACATTTTTTTGTATGCTTTATGCATGCGCGTTTAATGTTATGCATGCGCATTTAGCAAAAAAAAACGAAGACTCTCAAATTGCATTGAAAGAAATGTTTAATAAAGTAAACAAATAAATATTAAGCTCTTTTTTTTTTTTTTGTAAATTTTGATACCCTTTAGATCAGAATTTCTCTTCATGCACGTAATGTGTTTACGCATGCACGTTTAATGTTTAGGCATGCGTGTTTAGCACAAAAAAACAAAGCAAACAACTCACATTGAAAGAAATGTTTAATAAAGTAAACAAATAAATATTAAGCTTTTTTTTTTGTAAATTTTGATGCCCTTTAGATTATAATTTCTCTTCATGCATATAATGCATTTACATATGCGCGTTTAACACAAAAAACGAAGCAAACAACTTACATTGAAGGAAATGTTTCATAAAGTAAACAAATAAATATTAAGCATTTTTTTGTTGTAAATTTTGATACCCTTTAGATCATAATTGCTCTTTATTTCATAAATTACAGTTTAATATTTTTAATTGTATAATTTCTGCATGCCATCATACCAGATTTAAATTGATGATATGTAATCCGGAATCACTGAAGTCCCGACGAGTCCAGATTACGGACTTTGTACTGTATTACAATAATTATTATTATCTTTGCTTTGTTTGCATGTGTAGGGTATTCTCCACTTATTTATTGGTCTTTTATCTGATTCTTACACCTTTCTTAATGTAAAGTTATTAAAAACTAAGCTTTACAAAGAAAGCCTAACAAATCACTTGCTTGAATACCTGTTTTGGCATGAAATTAAAATAATGGCCTTTCATGGAAATTTCAAATGCAATTAAAGACTGTATCCCTGTAAATTGTATCTCCTGCACAGGTTTGTTTGGAAGAGAGACCTTTTTCAGAGCCATTTATTTGGAATAAAAAGAAAATGAAGTAGTTCTATATATAAGTATGCAAACATTTTTGTAATTTGTTTGTAATAGAAGAATTAATTAGAAATAGGTTATAATAACTAACAGTTACTCTTCTCTTATGCTTTTATGTACGTGTGCTTAATATCATGTTTATTTTTATTTTTTATGCTAATTTTAATTTATATATCCTAAGTTTATTCTGTCCACCACAATAAGATACTTGGGCATGCCTACATCACGTATAGGGCAGTCCGAGCAGTAGGTAAACCAGAACAGGCTGCATGCATCTAGTATGAATGGAATTTGGATTCAACCATTTGTAACCTTGAACATGTTCTCTTCATCTTTCCCCTCAATGAAATGAACTCCCCTTCATAACAGGCGTGGTCAAGTCTCTTCTCCTTAAAGACAAACTATATCATGTTTAACAAGTTGATTTTTATTTACCTATACTTAATATCATGTTATTTTCTCCTAACTTTTATACATATACTGTAAATATGTTTCAAAAGCTAAATTTGGCTTATATGTGATTAATTCCTTGTTTTTTTCAGCAAACTTTATGCTTAATATCATGGTCCCCCCCCACACACACACAATTTAAAATAACTTTTCCTTAATCATATATAAATCTTATTTTGCATATGTTTAATGCCATGCTTTTCCTCATAGTTTTAATTCAAATGGACTAAATATCATGTTTAAAGAGCTAAATATGCATATTATCATATATTTCTGCTAATTTTATATGAATATTATATTTTTCCCCATCTGATAATAACTACTTTAACCATTATCACTAAAAAGGCACTCTCACCAATAGGTTCTTTGTGGTAATAAACCCAAATAAAGACCTTACAATTAATTCTTCTGTATGTATTGATGCGATTAAATTATTATTTCTTTAAGGCTGCATACAAAGTGTATTTGCCGGGCTTCATTCCATTTTTGATTGAGAGAATCATGGGATATGGAATCTGAGGGTCCTGTACCTTCTTCCCTATGATCAACATCTTGTAAGGATGCATATATTGAGAGATTTTGAGAGCCCTTATTCAGCAAAGATGTTATGGTCACAAACATCTATGCCGTATTCAAGATTCAGATTGAAATCCAACACATACAGCAATGAATCAACTTTTGTTAACCATCTTACCATCCAGGGCAGCTGTGTATTGATGGGAGACCTCTTCTAGCAGTTAAAAAGGTGGGATACATGGTTTTCCTCATCTTTTGATGTCTTATACAAATATATATGTATATATATATATATATTTTACCATTTAATAGATTAAATAATATGTGCTCGCCAGTTAAAAGGCTCTTTTTTCAGTAAACAGACCTTTTTTATGGTTCTGTTTTGGCTATTTAGCACATTTGACATAAGTTGAATTAGATGGACAAAAAAGAAAATTGTATTGTAATCATTGTTTAATATGTAGTTTGTTACTGTTTGTTCAACGCTATTCATTTGCAGAAGTATAGTTAATTTATATGCCAAATGCAAAGTTAAGCTATTAATTATTGTAATCATGCATTTGCATTTTATTATCAATAACTTCCAAATGCTGCATTCATGTAATAAACATGTAATTTATAAGCCTCTTTTACCAGATACACTGTAATAAAATGGTTAATTATTGTGTTTGCCTTATACTTCTATCATTACATGATTATTTATTTTGTATTTATTTTGGATAGGTATGAGCTGTTTATCAAATAAAAAGCTGTTTGTCATATTTTATCTCTGTGCATTAGTGTCATTGGTGCTTTCTGATTATCTGCACCCCCACTAAAATGTTGTGAACTTATTGACGAATTTGGAGAGCCTTCACAAACTCATTGGTTGTTTTGGGGAGAAATATTTGGGTATCTTTGTGTGTATTTCAATGATGTATCTAGTGTAGCATGCTTTTTTACATTCTTTTTCTATACAAGAAATGCATACTTTTTTTTTTTTTCCCCCACTGTTGTTCTCCTCGTGTACACAGTAATCTGTTTTTGCTTAAAAAATATCGGAATTGCACAAAATGCCTATCACACACATTCTCAGCACCAAAATCGTGGAATGAGACGGAAAGAAGGGCACATAATTCCTTTTAATGAGCCATATTGCACTCCATGCATGTAGAAAACGAAATCTGAGCTTTTACTGAAGCTAATGTGAATTACAATATGCAGTGCATTGCAATGCTAAAACACTGAAATTCCTATAGAATGAATCGTAATCTGCATTAGACTAGCAGGAATGTCCTGAGAAATAGAAACCCACCTGGGGCGCAGGCTATATGAGGGTTGTCCCATAAATTCTTTTTGGTGACTTCATGAATTATCACATAATAACGTTTTGGTGACATGGTACATCACCTCATAAGTACTTTTCAATGCAGTCGTGGACAATCAGAAATGTCCTACATTGTTATTCTAAGTAATATGATAGGGGCATTGGCTTGTGAATCTAAATAATATACTTGTGTTTGTGAAAATTACGACTTCATTTATAAATAATCAGAAGCAAATGCAGTTTATTCCGTATACAACATGTTATATTACAAAGAAACAATTAAATTTATAGAGCAATACGAACATATTAATTGTAAAAATTGTGCATAAAAATTGATTGTGTACTTGAAAATTAGCTGAATTCTATATTGCTGTTAACTAAGTCCAAACCTGATCCATATTGACTGCAGGAGTGTTGGCCCACAACGTCCCAGGCATATTTAATGACAACATGTCTGGTGAATGAATTGGCCAAGAAAGGACTGGTGTCCATCATGCTGTGAAATCTTCATATTTTTCAACAACATGAAGCATTGTCCTAAATATCTCCTAGAAAGTTTTGAATAAACAGTATAACATCAGGCTCCATAACCTTGATGATGAAGTGGTTGCCAATGAAAGTAACTTCAGTTCATTGCAGGCCTCTTTGTCAATTCTAGCAGTGTGGGTTCAGTGAAGTGCATGACGCAACCAAAACAGACTAGTTCACGGCACAAACATTTATTTCTTAACTAAATCGTAAGACAGTAGCGATGCGCTATTTACGCAGTTACATTACATTCTCTCCTACTCTCGTTCATAGACCTTCTCATGTATAAGAGTACTGATACTCATCGAAAATCCAATGCTACATCCCTCCCCACTTATTTAGAGATTTAATCTCTGAGGAGCTTTGCAGATGTGCAAAGATCGTCTAAGTTCAGGCTGGGGTTGCTGCAACTCTTTATCAGAATTCACTGGAATGACTGGCTGAAGTTTTCACGCTTCACTTCTTTGTTCGATGTCCTTGTCTGGAGCCTGGGGCTTAACGTTGCCATCTGAAGTTAGCAGCCATACGAGGTTGATAGATTACCGGTGCAGACGGAACCTCTCTCCCTACCGATCTGATCTGATCGACGTGCCGACGCAGTAAAGTTCCTTGAACGTCAATGGTATAATGCAGTGCTCCATCCTTATTTGTCACTCTACCAATTTTCCATCAGGAATTTACTGATCTATAATCCCGAATGGCAACCTTTTCTCTGATCTCAAAATTTCTGTCTTTGATATCATAAGTATTCCTTCGGATGCATTCTTCCACTCTTTGTCTAAGATTTGGAACAAGTAAATCAATCTGAGTTCTAATTTCTCTTTTTAAGAATAACGTTGTTATTCTCAAACAGCAGTTACAGGACTTCAGCAATATAACTAAACAAGAGATTATGTCTGTCTACAGAATTAAAGAGAAAGTATTATCACAAAACACGAAGCAACTTAAACAAGTTACATTGAAAGAAATGTTTAACAAGGTAAACAAATAAATATTAATCTTTCTTTTTGTAAATTTTGTTACCCTTTAGATCATAAATACTTCATTATTTCATAATTCATGATTTCATATTTTTAATTTTATAATTTCTACATGCTATCTTACTAGGTTTAAGCTGATGATCTAATATCCAGAAAAAAACCCAAATCCATAAATCAAATTGCATTCTCAAACTTATAAACAGACCAAAGGGAGTGCATATAGATGTTTTATGTACCTCACCCGGATATATAGGATTTTGGTGATATGCATTTTTGAGATCAATGTAACTAAATATTTGTTTATGATGCAATTCTGGGGTAACACCAGCTATAATCGGAATAGGATACTTTTCTTTGACAGTCTGTGCATTAAGAGATCCATAGTCGCCAAACAGGTTGCTATTCAAAAGACCCCTTTCTTGGACATCATGTGTAAAGACAAAGAATAGGGGCTGTTTGAAGATGTCATAAGACCAAGTTGAATCATGTTCTGAAATTCAGCTCTACCAATTTTGAGGCAGTCAGGAGCTAACCATCTGGGTTTAATAGCAACTGAAGGACATTTTAGTATATATATATATATATATATATATATAAAGCACAGTATTGTGTTTCACAGGTTGATTGGGATCCAGTAATTTAGTAATATCAGTATATTGTAACAATAATTTACCAAATCCGTGATTAATATAACAGGATTTTACAGAAAAAAGATTACAGTTATTTAATTTGGCAACTACTTTAAAATTTGTTGTTAAATTAGACGCTTATTAAGTAAATCGAGAGGTAAATTGAAGAAATATAAAAAATCTGCACCTATGATCAAACATGTAACAGCACAAAAATAAAAAGAGAAAGTAAAATTGCATCTTGAACCAAAATTAACAGTTATTGTTTTGTGATTGGAAACATTAAATGGATGTTCCATTGGTAGCATAAAACATTTTCAGTAATGGTGCCTTAAGTTTAAATTTATTGGCAGCAATTAAACTAGCATCACTTCCTGAATCTACTAGAAAACCCATACCTGTAGTCTATAATGAAAGTCTATAATGAAAAGGCGACACAAGGTGTGAGGATGGGATGAGTCGGTCGCATGTACTCTTCCTTCGTCAAATTTACCTTGTAGGAACACGGTCAAACACATTTTTTACATTGTCCTTGAATTTTTTATGATACCATTGCAACTTGTCATATGAGTCGCAATGTTTGCAACCAGAAAAACTGGTATGAGTTGAACGTCTGGAACGATGACGTTCAAAAACATCTTACCGAAGAGCTTTGATTTCTTCATGAAGTAGAGCCTGAGAGGAAAAGCTGGCATTTTCCAAAGAAGGGTCATTCTTGGGAATGATGATGGAAATGTTAGTGTTGTTTATAGCGAAAATTCAATCAGCTACGCTGATTTATTTTAAGTAATAGAAGAGATGGATGCTAATATAGTTTGGACAGGAACAGGCATCACTTGATTAAAGCATTCTAGTCTTCTGTATTTTCATTCTCTGTTCTACACTTCATAATGCAGAGGAGTTTGCTGGAGATTAAAGTGAAAATATTATTTTTATGTAGCAGCCAATGAATTTCTCGAGTCTGAATTCAAAACATCTTTCGATAATTTTTTTTTTTTTTTTTTCAAATCCTCATATGGGTTGACTTTATCAGGTTGAATGATGACATAATGAACAACAGTGGTGATATTAGGTGGTAAGTGAGCCTCAACATAGTTGAATGTGGTCTTTTGTTCTGATACCTGTTTAGGAGTTGCTAATTCAAACATTGATTCCAACATGTGAAACCAAAGAGATGGATCAACTTGAATAAAAGGTAGAATCGTCACAGTAGAATTTTCGAAATCAGCCATTGCTCAGATAGAATACGTTCCAGTGAGAAGAATCAAAACCAGAAGTGTCCGTTATTGTAAAACACTTCACGTATGAAAGTCACCATTAAAGATCACGTTGGCTGACCTAACTCCTTTATTTGAATGAAGCAGCATGGAACAGCATTTAATATAAAAATATATTTTATTTCACATACTGAAATGAAATTCATACTGGGAGCATTGTATAGCAGTCTCTCTCCTCCTCACGACACTCGCCAAAAGAGACTCTGAGGCAGGAGAGAATTGACATAATACATGATGTGCGCTTCTTGCTGATTGACCAATGCGACACATCTCTCTGGCATGGATGAAACACTAGTGAGTGCTAGAGTGATGGAACTGTTTACAGGATGAGATGTGAAACAACAAGTAGCTCGACTGAAATTGTCAAATGTAGAAATTATCTGTCCCCTTCAGCAATTATGTCCATAAGAGACTGCATCGTCAGATTAATCCCTTCAGGACAAAGTTGTAAGTTTGGCGGCATGTCTACCAGTACAGCTTTCAGTGGTTCTATGGGATTTTTCAATTGAATAAGATGTTTTATATTTCGTATTTAAGGCCTACAAAATACATCAATTTCTATGTCTGAAATGCATTTTTTTAAAATTTTTTATGTAGACTATATTCTATTTGGTAACAAAAAATATGTCTTTTTATAATTCGAGACTGGAATTTTTTTCCATGAATTGTTCTTTTTATATGCTCAATTATCTGGAATTTTACTTGGCATTCAGCATTTCCCAAGCTTAACTATATATTTGATTGATTACTTGTATAATTATAGAGATATATTCAAGGGTTATGAAAATAATTACTCAGAATTATAGCAGTTGATTACAGGTAATTAATTACTTTTAGAAATGTTGTATAAGTTTATTTAATGAAGAGTTTTTATTTCATCTGTAGATAATTTTAATTACACTACGTTCTTCCTTCCCACAGGTGTATTGTGGTATAGTTCCCGTGAAATTTCTCTTTGCATTTATTTCCTGAAAATTTTCAAATACTGGGCATTTCAAGTTCTTATGTATGACATTATGGATTTGTTCACAGAAGAGAGGAAAAGCTTTTGTCAGCAAAGAGGAGTGATGAAATTGTTTGAAAATAAAAAACTTACTACAATATGTGCTCCGATGGTGAGGTATTCAAAGTAAGTAAAATTTTTATTTTAAAAATAGCTGCATCATTTTTATTTTCCATCATGCCTGTTTTGCCTATTTACTTTAATAATGTCATTAAGTAATCTGTGTGTAAATGACTGGAGTATTAAATGTGTTTCAAAATTACTATTTTTCTTCAATATGTATGGAAATAGCTTTGCTTTATATTCTTACCCTCAAGTTATTGTAACTAATGCTGTTTTAAATGTAAACATAATTCCTTTGGAAGAAAGAAATCAATATTACATTAAATTTCAACAAAATGGTAGCAGCATATTTTGTCATTAAAGTGAAAATATTATTTTTATGTAACTATTTCAATTTTTTAGTAAAAAAGTGTTTTAACTAAATGAATGGCAAATATTTTGTATATAGAGATAAAATTATAATTATATGCTTAGTTTGGAATCAAGAATTGCATAGATTACAGAATTTGGTAAATATATATTTATGGGTACCCCTTAGCAAAAAATTGGCGATTTTTAGCGTTACATGGATACCGAGTTTGTGCAATTCTTTGATTTGTTATTTTGGCTTGTGTAGTAGCAGTTTTTGCGCCAAAAATAACCTTTACGCAAAGCCAAAATAACAAGACAAAGAATTGCACAAACTGTATCCATGTACACATCAACCTATTTTCACTTAAAAAAACATCCCAGAATTGCACAAACTTGGCATTGCGCATTCCCTTGACTTTATCCATGTGCACATTGACCTATTTTCACTTAAAAAAACATCAGATAATTTCACAAACTAGGCATTGCGCACTAACTTGACTTTTTTTCATGTACACATCAAACTATATTCAATTAAAAAGTCAAAGAAGCAGCCAACAAAAAAATATATAATCTCAAAAAACTACATTTTAAATCAAACAATGACATAACATAAAAAAGGGAATTGATCTTTGTACTACACAAAGGAAATATCCACTTACCTTACTTATAAATTAGCACGTCTTCAGTTAAACAAAATTCCTTAACAGCATCCAAAAACTTCCTAAAATTATCTGAACTAGAATCTGTATACTAGCGTTGCCACATAAATTCACAAAATAAGAGTAAAAAATACTCTCCGTAGTGCTGTATCGTTCGACCATACGCATTTCCTTCCTACAACAGGACACTTAATAATGTCTACTAAGTAAACTTTCATTTACACACCAGTAAAGTAAAGCTGTTTTCCCCTTTCTTTCCAAATCATATAGAAACTTCAAATTAATCTTGCCTGCCACATTCAGCCATTTTACCGTCTAAACCAGAAAACAAGCAATGTACTTCCTAACCAACACACACAACAAGCCCTTACAAATTCACCGCAATCATGCAACCGATTACATCATAATAAGGTTTCCATAACATTCAACTACTCAGGCTACCATAAATAAACCACCACTTGGCAATAAATGAAACAACAACTTCGCAATAATGCAAGGGGTATCCTTCTCTTTACTCTAACTTAGAATTTTATACATCACATATTCCTGAGTGTTGTTTACATTTATGGCTTCTAAGTTTCGCAATTCAGTTTATTTTATTTTTTAATTAATTTATTTTTTATTTATTTATTTTTTCATATAAATAACTAACAAGAAGTATTCATACTTTAAGAATTACTTAATATAGATGTACTGAATACACAGCTGTTATATTTTTAGTATATTGCCATACATATATGAAAAGAATATCATTAGTAGGGAAAAACATAACAGAAAGAAAGAGGGAGTAAATGATTTAGCAATTTTGGGAGAAAACAAAGGACTCTTTATAAAATGCTTAGAAGTACGAGGCGTATTCGGAAACTAAGTACCGTTTTGAAAAAAAAAAAAAATAGTAAAACAATTTTTTCGAATCCAATTTTATTTTTACATGAAAATACATGTCTTAAACTATTTTTCAACATAGTTTCCGCCAATGATCAAACACTTGTCATAGCGGGTGACCAGTTTTTGTATATCATCGTCAAAGAAACTTCCCGCCAGTTTTGATAACCACGACTCCACAGCATTTTTCGTGTCATCGTCAGATCCAAGCTCGCGCTTCATGTGCAGGAACAAGTGATTGTCGGACGGCGCCAAGTCCTGGCTGTACGGCGGGTGATTAAACTGCTCCCAATGAAACTGTTGAATTAACGATTGAGTGACACCAACAGTATGGGGCCGAGCATTGTCATGGAGCAACACAATTCCTTTACTGAGCATTCCTCTTCGTTTGTTTTGAATGGCACGCCTTAGTTTTGTTAAAGTCTCACAATATCATGCCGCATTAATGGTTTCACCTCTGGAAAGAAATTCAGTAAGCAAAACGCCTTTCCTATCCCAGAAGACAGTGCACATGATTTTTTGTGATGACATTGTCACTTTGAACTTTTGTTTTTTAGGAGAATGAGTGTGTCTCCACTCCATTGATTGTTGTTTCGATTCTGGTGTGAAATGACACACCCAAGTTTCATCACCTGTCACAACTTGGTTTAAAAAGTTTTCATCACTGTACGCTTGAGAAATGTCAGGGCACTACCAAGTCGCTTTGTTTTGTGAACATCAGTGAGCATTTTTGAAACCCATCAAGCATCTGTTCTCATGAATTGCTTCATCACCTTTCCTTACCAAATCATCGGTGACAACAGAAGGCCGACCACTTTGAGCCTCAGCGTGGACATTTGTTCGACCTGCATTAAACATTCTTACTCACTTTCTCACCATTCCATCACTTATCGCTTATTCACCGTAAACTTCTGTCACTTGACGATAAATTTCGGCCGGTTTAACATTCCTCACGTTCAAAAATGTAATCACGGCACGAATCTCACAGTCAGCGGGAGAACTAATTGTCTTAAACATTTTGAATGTGCACAGCAAACTGAAAACACAACATAGAGGAACCAAAATGGCGACAGTTGAAAGTCAGTGAACAAGAAAGACTATTGTGCATGCGCGGGACGCCTACCACAGCGCTACAACGGCGCTAGAATGAAACGGTACTTAGTTTCCGAATATGCTACGTAGTTTATGAAGAAAAAAAAACTGTGTGTCCACCAGAGAAGTTACTTTTAAAATAGTGTTGACATGTGTAAATGTGAATCAGTTTAAAAAAGCAAATTGAATCTTCTGCTAATTCAACCGTTCTGTTTCATGCACATATAATTAGATTAATAACTTTTTTAGCAGTTACAGAAAATGCTAGCATTGAAATTTTAAATTTATTAAAATAATATCTCTTTATTTAGCCTCTTATATGCAATTTTTTCCATTTTTAATTTCTGAAATGTTAATCAAGTGATATTTAAAAAAATTTATGTATATTCATCTCTGATGTAAGCAAGTTTGCTTCATTACACATAGTTTAAACAAGCCAGCTTCAAAATGTATTTGAAAATCTGAAAAATTGTGAATTAATAAATTTGGTGCACTTTGATTATCTGCTTAACCCTCCTGCAAAGTCGCTTATCATTAAATACTAATTTTTCTCCAACCTCAGACATTAAAAATGGTAGCCATTTAAAAAAAATGGTATTGAACTGAAAATTATGTTAAACTGCAACAAATTAACAAATTTAAAAATGCAAGAAGCATCCATAATAAAACAACCTTTTTCTTCTTCTTCGTATACATCAACCCATTTTAACTTTAAGGGGAAAAGTGAGAGAATTGCATTAATGAAGAAAAAACTGTTATCATAATCACTTGATAACATTTAATAAATTATCAGCTTTTAATGAAAGTTTCCCACCACCATAAATATCATCTGCACAAAGAGTTCACCTTTCTGTGTTTAATCATATTTTGTGAAATGATTTTTTGCGTTTGAAAGAAAGAGACTTCCTTTAGAACACTGTGCTGTGAAATTTGTAAAAAAAAATATTGTTATCATTAAGTACGAGGTTTTTAAAATGGAACTATCATACTACCAGATTAAAATCATCATTTACTTCCTGTTCTGTTAGAAAAAAGTCAGCTACAAAATGCCACCAAATCATGTGTACAGCTTTAGGTACTAAAGTTGTATCATATGACACTGTAAAGGTTTGCTACAGAAATTTCAAAAACAAGGACTATGACATTCAAGAAGTAAAGCTCTCTGGCCGGCCTCTTGATGTTGATGAGGCCCACCTGCAAGAACTTATGGAAGAAGATCAGTGTGCAACCAGTCGAGAGTTTGCTAAGGAGTTAGACATTAGTGCCATGTCTGTTAGTCACACTATGCATAGCATAAAACTTGACGTGCAAATTCAGTCATTGGGTGTCGCTTGAGCTGACTCAAGCAGATAAGGACGGAAGTGTTTGGGCCCGTACTAATCTGTTCGAATATCAACGCAAGGACAAAATTCTGGACTGGATTGTCACTTGTGATGAAAAGTGGATTTACGTCAACACAAGCCAAAAAGGGGATTGGTTTCTGCCCTGTAAGCCCATTGGCAGCACTGCTAAATGCAATTTGACTAACAAAACGATCATGCTTTTTATCTGGTGGGCTTGCCATGTTATTATCCACAAAGAGTATCTGGAAAAACCCACAATAGTAAGGTGTACAGTAAGATGCTAGTCTGCTTTTAACGTTGCTGTCAAAGAATCGCAGCAAACTAAGTTCCAGGGCAGAAGGGTAGTGTTCCATCAAGATAATGCAAAACCACATGTGCCTGCATTCACCGGCGGGGCTCTGTACGGATGTGAATGGGATCACACCAGCTCTGGCATTGCTCCTTCGGACTTCTACCTGTTTTCACTTTTTTCCATTCTGTACAGGATGTCAGAAATGAGATTGATTTGTTTATGGACTCGCGGCTACCAAGTTTCGTGGCTGAAGGCTTTGAAAAACTACCAAACGTTGGTGGAAAATCATACACTTGGATGGTGATTATGACCTGCACTGCTTTCATGTTTTGTTTTCTAACTTTATTAAGAGCATTTTTTGGCGGAACTTTCGTTAAATCAAATTCTTTTTCACTGTAAGATTTTTATAATAGTAGATAAAAAAAGCTAGCAAAGTGCTAC